CCCTAAATTCACCCGAGGGACCCAATAAGGCTTAGGTCACGAGGTTGGTAGCGGGCCCTGGTGCCTTTCTCTTCTGCATTCCAGCTTGTCTGGCCACCAGTGGCTCAGAGGCTCCCGGTCTCCCCGACAGAAGGGGCCGCCGCCCGGCTCCCGCCTCCTCGCGCTCGAGAGGCGGACTTGGCCTTGGCCTTGGCCTTGGCGGTCGGAGCAGACGCTGCCCCTGCCCAGAACGATCTCTTTTGCCCCGGCACCTTGTGACTACCAGAGGTGGTGACGGGCCCCCAGGCTCAGTGTTCTCAGCTTTTCTTTGGTGCCCGGATTGAACCACGGCGCAGAGCGGCGGCGCGTACTAGGCGCGTTTTCCAGCTCTGTGCAGGGAATCCAGCGCGTGCTGGGCCCTCTACACACCTTAGCTTGCAGAACGCTCCCGGCAGCCTGGGACAAGGAGCAGTTCCATGGTCTAACCACGGTCATACCCAGCCTTTTCTGTCCTGAGGTGGATTTGGGCTGGTCCCCCGCTATGGGTGCCCCCCCACCGCTGGAGCTGGGCCCCCCCAGCTTGGCACCTGCGTTTCTCTCTGCAGACAACCTGGTCCCCCAAAGGGAGGAAGAACTGACCGGTGCTCCAGGCTCCCCCGCGCTAAACACGAAACCTGCCTTTGCCTGGCTCTCCACTTCCCCAGGCCCCACCCTGCTGTGGTGACACCCCGTTGGCCCTGCTCTCTGCTGCCAGTTAGTGTGGGACCTGGGCCAGTGGCTCAGTGGTGGGATGCAGGAAAGAGCAGGATTCAAAGCTGAGGACTGGGCTCCATCCCTTCCAGCTCTGTGACCTTGGGTAACTCATGTTGCTCCTAGATCTTCAGTTTCCTCATCTGTGAAAGGGCAGAGGGAAGCCACCCCCTCCCCAGGATGAAATGAAGCAGTGCTACCTTTGTTCCAGCATTTTCTGTGAATTGTGGTTTTTGGCCTAAGAAAGGAGAGTCCCTGGAGGCAGGGCTGCTGTGTGTGCTCTCCTTTGCACCTCAAGTACCAAGTAGAGGGGACCCTCACGCCACCTAGGAAACTACAGTGTGCCCCTGGGGGGACCTTTATTCCTTTCAACAGGAGAGAAAAGGCCTAGGGTTATGTGAACACAGGGCGGACGGGGGAAGGTGAGGACCAGGGCTGTCTTTATGTTGGGGTGATGGGGCTGGGGCTGCTGTGAGCAGGATGGAGAATCCCCGGGGACCTGGTGAGCTCCCGGGGAACCTGTGGGTGGTGTCTGGGTGGTGGCAGGGTGAGCCCCAGCAGAGAGTGGGGCTAGGAAGCTGGAATGCAGAGACGGGCCTCCAGAATTAGCACGCCCTTCACAGAAACCCTGTCCAGAACTCAAACCTGCCAGGAAGAGCCCTGTGACTAAGATTCCAGGGTGCGAGGCCCTGGACTTCAGTGTTGGTTAGAGCACAAACCCTGGAGCCAGACCTGAGTCTAGATTCAGGCGCTCCCTCCTTCAGCTCTGTGTTTGCACACAGGATTTTATCTCCTTGAGCCTCAAGTTCCTCATCTGCAAAATGGGAGGAGAGAAGTCTTCCTGATGGGCTATTGTGGGTACACTGCAAAATTTTGGTCAAGACTGAGTGCCCCAGGCTGGGTGGTACATGCCTGTAATCCCAGCAG